ATTTTTAAACAACATTTCATTCTGAACGGAATTAAATGCTATACTTTTCACAGGACAGTTTTCTCAGAATGGTTTAATTTGAATGAAATACTTTCTCATGTTTTCGTTAATTACAGTAGCCAAAAAAAAAAAAAAAAAAAAAAAAAAGGTAATTCGATTTTATTCGGTTCATTTTAAATTAGAGAATTATTAGGAATTAGCGAAATACTTCTTTAATTAAATAGGTATTAAATAGTAATTGACTTTCTCTGAACATTTCTGAAAGGGAACAAAATAAGTTTTTTTTTTTTTTAAGTATTATTTAAAACTTGTAACTGAGTTATTATAAAATGTAAGGGGAATAATTCTTTTAATTATACTTATCAGATTTTTTTTTTACTCTTCATTTCAACAATACATATTCCAAAACTCTTTATTACGTTCTTAAGTGTGCATCTCATAGCATATGCTTTACAATACCTTTTAACAGATTGCTTTCCAATACGAACAATTCTTGCTTAAATAGTTTTATAACGTATGTGTCAACAGGATTTCAATTTATGTTTACAATTCAATATTAAGGTATTATATATTTAGATTTTCTTCATCACAGTACTTTCACAGTTGTTTATAAGTAATAAATTCTTCATTTCAAATCATTTATAAATAATTAATGAATATTTAAGTATTTTGTCAAAGGCAGATACATGCTTTTTGCAAGCACATGCATAAATACCCATACATATTTCCTATTTTTCATTTCCGGCATGTGAAAATCTTTATTTCTGGGCATTCACTATATTTTTCATGTAAAGTAATTTACACTAATTTAACATACACCCGAAAGTTTTACATAAAAAATTATATGAATATAATTTGAATGAAAATTATAAGTATTATTTTTAATACCCACTCAAAGGTCAGTTTTCTTCAAAATTCCTCCACGATGGCATCTCTCTCTTTAAGCAAATAGTCCTTGCATGCGTTACTCTACTAATAAAAACTTAATCTGGACCTATGTGGCCTAATTACAAATATTTAACATACATAATTTTATATTATAAAAAACGTGTAAGCCCAAAGTGATTATTTTTCAGATATTAAAATTAAAACGATGGGTTTAAAATGAGCAGCAGTAAAGCCTCTCCTCTAAAAATTTAAAAAGGTAACATGTTTAAGAATAGATGGATAATGAAAAAATTTTGTTTTTATTTAAAAACATTTTTGACTTTGGAAAATAAAATTAAAGTAGCGAATACTCTATCAAGGGATCGAAAGACGTATACAATTTGAATCCACCGTAAGGTATTTTTCATTCTTAAGCATACATTTTCTTAAATCTATACTTTGTAGGCAACAGCTTCTAATTTTATAAAACAAATTCATAATCAAAATCGCGCTGTTGTGGTTATACGAAAAATAACCAAGATGTGATTTTTGCGTAATGTCACTAAACTATACAAATGGCTATTATCCCATCACACATGAATGTTTCTTTAATGCGAAAGTGTCCCTTTTTTTATTTCTATGGAAATGTCGTGTGTCGAAATACTATCAGAATCTTGTCAAGCGAGCTTCTGAATGTAAACAAAGAACACCCCATCTGGTGACCCAAGCTTCAAAGCAGTGCTTCACTTTTAGCGCAGATTGGCCCCTCCTCCCTTTCCTACCTCCATGGTAGTTTCAGATGTATTCTCTCAAGAAAAGGGTGTGCCTCAAGGCTGTGTGCTAAGTGTTACTTTGTTTAGCTTAAAAATTAATTCTGTTCTGAAAGAACTTCCTCCTACGATTTCAGGTTCTTTATATGTTGATGACCTCCATATATGCTGTCAAGGTGCAGACATGAGATATATAGAGAGGCAGCTGCAAATCACTCTTAATAGAATCGATCATTGGTCAAAAAAAGAAGGATTTATTTTTTCAAAACAGAAGACTGTATTTTGCAGAAAGCGTAACATTCACCCTGAGCCTGAACTATATATTGGAGAATCAATGATTCCAGTGGAATCTAAAGTAAAATTTGTAGGAGTGATGTTCGACCGAAAGTTGACCTTCCTTCCACGCATCTTATACCTAAGGAAGAAGTGTTTGAAGAGACTGAATCTTTTGAAAATCCTGGCGAACACCTCCTGGAGTGCGGACCGTTGCTCGTTACTCCGGGTATATAGAGCACTTATACGCTCTAAACTTGATTACGGGTCAATTGCTTATGGTTCTGCAAGGCCTTCCATATTACCAAAATTAGATCCCGTTCATCATCAGACACTACGTATATCTTCTGGTGCGTTTAGAACATCTCCAGTCCAGAGTCTCTATGTCCAGAGTCTCCAGTCCAGAGACTGCCACGAACCTTCGCTTCGGTTAAGATTTGAGCAGTTGTCTCTCTGCTACTATTTCAATGTTACGTCACTTTCTGACCATCCAAACTATATTTCTTCCTTCGATGACAGTTACAAACTCTTGTTTGTTAGACCATCCATATGCCTTATTTCACTTAGGGTTAACTCTCTAATTGAGAAATACCACATGACAGATCTCTCTACCCAGGCAGTAAAGCATTTCGAAATCTCACCTTGGGAGGATGCTCGGATTTCACTCTTAGACCTTTTCCAGCATTTTGGCAAGCAAGATACTAACGAGTTTGTGTACAGACAACTTTTTTCTGACCACAGGTGCAAATACAATAGTTACGTCCCTGTATACACAGACGGATCAAAAGCAGCAGGACATGTTGGTGCATCCTTTATTATTGAAGACCACATTGATGGTAAAAGACTGCATGACGCCTGCTCGGTCTTCACCTCAGAATTAAATGCTATATATTATGCTCTTTTGTTTATTTCTAAGCAATATCGAAGACAATTTATTATATATACAGACTCGTTTAGTGCTTTGAAATCCTTAAATTCAAGTTATAAGGCTCAGAATACCAATGTTGTTGATATTTTGAGCCTTAACCTCAAATTAAGAAGCCGTGGGTATGATATTCTTTACTGTTGGGTTCCAGGACATGTGGGTATTAAAGGGAACAAGCTAGCAGACATCATAGCCAAATCTGCAGTTCATCTTGCACATCGCCTCGTCCCCTTTAATGACATCCGTAAAGTTATCAAGGACAAATTGTTGTTTAAATGGCAGGAAGTCTGGGATACTCAGCTAGAAAATAAGCTGAAAAATATCAAACCAAAAATTGAATGCTAGGAATGCTTAAAATTGAAGAAGGAGGAAGTTTTGCTGACTCATCTGAGAATCGGTCACTCACATATTACCCATAGTTATCTGTTAAAAGGTGAGAGTGAACTGGCGTGTCCAAACTGTTCTGCTGTAATGTCAGTTCGTCATTTCTTATTAAAATGTCCAAATTTTAAAAATCTTCGTTTGAAACATTTTAAGAAACGTGACTTGCCTCTTGACCATATCATTGGAAAAGAGGTCAATCCAAATTTGTTTCAGTACCTGAAAGACACAAGCATGTTTTATTTAATATAATTTGATTTTGTTGTATTACCTTAGTGTTTTTAATAAGAAGTTTTTTTAATAAATCTCATGTCAATGATTTTAGTCTTGTTTTTGTAATTGAAATAATTATGTGATGTGTGTAATAATTTATTTCAAACATTTTATCATTGTATTCATTAGCATTGTAGATAACCCCATCATTGTATTTTAAGCTATTCTTGTGGTTTTTATGTTATCTGTTTGTGTATATGTCTGTTGGTGTTAAAAAGTTTCTTGACATGTGTTCCGGCGCAGATAACCATTGAGGTTTTGCGCCAAGAAACCCACCATCACCACTACAGTATAAAGTCTTTAATCTGGACGTCCATAATCTGGAATGACCTATAATCCAGACCTCAAAGCTGCAAACTTTCTGCGCATGTGTAAACACATAATGCGTTTACACATAATACGTTTACGCATGCGGGTTTAATCTATAACGGACGGTATTAGGTAGTTAGCTAGGCTAAAATTATCTAATTATCTATTTCAGCTAATGTTGTAGATTGAGTTGTTCCTTAATCTTCTAATTGGATTCGGCTTGTTATTTTTTGCAGAGTGTTAGAGCAATTTTATAAAAAGTAAGCTTGAACTTTCGATCATGTTAAAAAGAGTTTCCAATTCTGGAGCTGCCAAAGGATCTACAAAGCAAAAGCATGTTTCGATGTCCATTAAACAAAAAGTGGAATTGCTGCAAAAAATGGATAAAGGCATGAAGAAAGTGACAGAGAGGTGATTTGTTTCTCTAACCATTCCGAAATCTGTTTATCAATTTCACGCTGCTCTGCGGAAGGGGGAGGGATGTTGCAGCGAGCAATTAACTGGAAGTTGACCTGTCAGCACTATTCTCATCTTCAGCGTAGATGTTTTTATTTTATTCAGCTTATAATTCCTTACTAAATGTAGTGTTTCATCTCGATGTACTCCGATATGATTTAAATCAATTTTATCGTCATTATAAATATCAAGAATATACATCAAATAGTTTTCTGGTTGCAATTTTCTAATTTCGACTATGTGTAATGTATGCTTTACACATGCGCGTGTTGAAAGAAATGTTTAATAAAGTAAACAAATAAATATTAAGCTTTTTTTTTTTTTTTTTTTTTTTTTTTTTGTAAATTTTAGTACCCTTTAGATGATAATTGCTCTTTATTTCATAAATTATGGTTTCATATTTTTAAGTGTATAATTTTTGCATGCCATCTTACCAGATTTAAATTGATGATCTATAATCCGGAAAAACCCCTAATCTGGAATTGCCGAAGTCCCGACGAGTCCGGATTAAAGACATTGTACTGTATCTTGAAATATACAATACAATACATTAATATGATCAGCAGTGAGCTCAAAACAAGAATTCCATTGTGCTGGTTAAAAGTACTGTGAAAAGTTAGATTCTTTTTCAATTCAGTTTGTTAACAACAATAAAAAGATTAAATGTTCCTTTTTAATTTTATTCTTTTAGGGTAATAAAGTGAGTTTAGTACTTTAATTTTTTTCTTTTGTATTTTCTTTTACAGAGTATTTTGGCTGCTCCTTTTCCAAAAAGTGAAGAAGCTATTAATCATGTTGAAGAACTAGCCCTAGGCTATGGGAACAGATCTGCTGCTCTATTTCATCTACTCAAAAATAAGGTAATAGAATTTTTTCATGCTTCATTTGTTTGTTATCTCTTCATTATATCTCAAAATGTTGTTAATAATATTCTAGTTGCGTGAAATATTCTATGTTTCTATGAAATGTATTTTTTAATTATTATTTATATGCTCACATTATTATTAGTTATTACTCATAATTATTATTACACTAGTTATTTGCTCATTTTCTCACTCTTTAAGATTCTCCCTTTTTTCATGTGTACTTCTATTATATGTTAATAAAGTAAAAATTCTGCAAAATCACCTCTAGCTATAATTTTTCTGGAAACATCTGGAAAGTCAGAGAAATATAAATTGGTGAAATAAAATTGGACCCCCCCCCAAAAAGAAAAACATCAGCAGAATTTAAGGAAAAATAGTTCAATCTTCTGGAATAAATGTTTTGTTTCAAACAGCAGATAAAAATTCAATAAACAAAACAAAAATTGCTCTCTATGAAGCAAATGAAGGGTTATTGTAAACTTTTAAGTTTTCCTTGCAAAAATATATCATATTTGATGTAATTTTATCAACCCATATCAACCTGTCCACCATTCTCTTTAGAAATGTAACTATTCATTGACTTAATGAATGTAATTTCATTAACTGTAATTCTTTAACTTAATTAATCTAACTTTTCTTTAAGACTTTGTTTAATTTGGTGTGATTCTTAATTCCCTTTTTATTTTAAAACATCATAGGAATAATGTTTATAATGAGTGATATATTGTTATAAATTTCTTTTATAGTATGAAAGTTTTTTTCTATATTTATTTTTCTAGTATTTTGTTTTGTTTTTGTTAGTCCAAAAGGGGCTTTGTCCCTGAAAGATTATTGTTTTCGTTTTGCGATTTTGCGTTGAATGACTATAAATGTCCGTTTCACTTTTCAAACTGTTGCCCCAAATGGTAGAGTCCTGCATTATATTTGAAGAAATTAAATAATGAAGTATCTGCATAAATATATGTATTTTTCTCCCATTGTGATAAAAAAATGGTACATTCAAGTTTTGAACGATGTAATCCTACTACGAATACGGGCATATAGAAGCCCAAATTTAAAATTTGGAATTTGTTTTATTATCAATTTCATATTTTGTAAAACTTTAACAAATTTTTGAGTAACAAACTCAACGATTTGAAAGCGAGCAATGGCAACACTCTTCTGGGGAGGGGGAACCTTTTTATCCCCAGCGCCCGGAACTGTATATCCGGAAATTCTAAAGACTTGCTCATTTTAAAATTGTTTTGCGATATTGCTGTTAAATTGAATTTTATGGGTTAAGTGCAAAGAACATTTAATAGATAAAGGTAACACACAAAAGGTTTAAAAAAATGTTCCTTTGGGCGTAATGTAAAACCTGAAAGATTTCAGATTTAAAAAAAAAAATGTTTTTAGTTATTTTGATATATTTATAGTTAAAAGCATGAAAGTGTTGTTAACACGTAATTTGATTACTAGTTGGCCATGTTTGATCAGGGAAATTCAAAATGGAATTTTAGTGAAAAACCTGAAAAATTTTTTGTTTATATTGATAATCTTTTCATATTAATTGAAATTAATATGAAAATGAGCAAGCATTTAAGTAAAATTACTTTGCATTTTGTTAGTTATGGGAGAAAAATAAATTTAAGCAGTCATTAGTTGAGCATTTATTTGGAAGGAAAAGTTGTGAAAATCAGATCCAAATTGTATGCTATTTTTGGGAGTTAATCACCTTCATTTTCTACTGTGAGCCTTTGGATTTCTGAATTTAACCATGGCCACATTCGCACTACTCAAAATGTCAAGAACTGGCTACTAGACTAGAAATTGTGGATTAAGTCCATAAGTATGTTTATAGTACGCTCTTGTATAAATGTTTATGAAATTGAAGAAGCTGTGGCATCTAATATGTATGAGTAGTTCACTGTTTACATAAAGACTTAGACTGAAAAAATGCTTTTTGCAAGATGCATTTCATATTTGCTCATTCTCGAGCAAAAATGCATTCGAGTCTAAATTTCAGCCAAATATTTGGCAATTTTTAAAAGGAATCCCACAGGTGCATCAAAAATAAACTGCAGTATTTTGGTCTGATCTGCAGTTGCTTTTGTCCCGTCCTTCTTGGAAATGTTTAAACCACTCACACATGCACTTCAAGGTAACAGCACATTCTTTGTAAACAATTGTCAGCATTTCATGAATCTCTTACTGATTTTCCAAGTTTGAAACAGAACAGCATATTCATTTGCTTATCCAGTTTGAGTTTTGACCACAGGCACAGTGAGCAGATGGCAGTTTTCATGTGGAGATGTTTTTGGTTAACCCCTTAACTGCCGCGGGCGTATGTATACGCCTTGCTCAGCCGATGCGTTAACTGCCCCAGATGCGCAGCCGATGCGTTAACTTTGCGAATAATTTTAGGTGTAAAGCAAAGCAAAGGATAGCAGTTTGGAAGAACGTATATATACGCCTGGGGCAGTTAACGCATCGGCTGAGCAAGGTGTATATATATACGCCCGCGGCAGTTAAGGGGTTAATAATTGTTTCCTATACAGGATCGATTGATCAATTAAGTGGTTCAGTGGTCATTATGTCAAATTATTAGTATTAGTCACAATCAGTATTAATAAAATTAATAATCCACATGTTACAATCTGATGATCTATTTGTTTCCTCAGTCATGTCTCACATCAGTCTGCACGAACACACATAATAGTACCTTCTAGGAATGAACAGGTTTATCCATTCTCCTCACTTAAACTCCCATGGAGTTTCTTTCAAATATTCAGATAATAAATTTAAATTCAATAAAATTATATTACATAAATAATAATCATTAAACTTCTTAAAATATATAAAATAAAATTTATTCAAATTCATATTAGTCATAGTTCGTGAAATGCCAATGGCACAACTTCGTTGATGGCTTGCCTAAAAACACCTGTAGATGACTTGACTGCTACAACTCTCACAAGTCCATCTTTACCAGGATACACTTCTTAGATGCAACCCAGAAGCCAGTTTAAGAAATTGGAGTTGCAGTTCTTCAACAGTACCAGTTGACCAACTTTCAAATTTGGTCGTGAAGTTTTCCATTTAGCATGAGTCTGGAGTTGATTCCGATATTCTGAATGCCATCAGTTCCAAAATTTTGCTTAGATTTTCTTGGAATTGATTCCTACTTGGAATGAAAATCCAAAGTAGTATGTGGTTCAGGAAAAGATATAGCATTTCCTGTCAAAAATGTCCTGAAATTAAAGGTTGTAAGTCATTCAGATCAGAAGAAAGCAGTAATGAGCGGAAATTAGAATGGCTTCTATTTGAGTAATTAAAATGGTTAACTATTCAAAATTCAGGATAGCTGATCTTGTTACCTTTAACAAAATTATTTTTACTGATTCTATGTTTGCTTCCCACAATCTGTCAAAATATGGAGAAGCTGGTGGCATAAAGTTCCATTGGATGCCTTCTTCTGCACCAAGTCCTTGAATTAGGTTAGATTTACAAATTTCATTCCATGCATTGAAAATGCTTCTCATACCTTTGAAATTCGTGGCGTTGTTGCTCCAGATGGCAAATGGTGTGGACCTTCTTGCAATAAATCGTCATATACATGGTATAAAATTAGAAACGACTTCTAAGTACATGGCCTTAATGCAGAAACAGATAAATAATGCAGTATAAGATTTTTAAGACACTTTTGACCTTTTCAAATCAGGTTTTGTGATTATGGGTCCTGCGAAGGCTTTGGAAGGAATCCAAACTTTTCGAAGGCTCTGGAAGGTGTGACTTTGTCTCTAGGTAGATCACCCATGATCTGATTTATCGTTTGATTCTTCATTCGAAAGCAAGTGATGCACTTATTTAGTACTCTTGTAACTCGATCTTGACCAGAGAGTATCCAATATGACTGTCTTATTAAAGATAATGTAGTTTGTATACTAGAATGCAAGGATTTTCTGTGATAATGTTCAATAATTAAAAAAGTGAAATGATGAGCTTTTGGCAAGAGTGTTTGATGTTTCTGAAATTCAGAACTAGCAGAATACTTCAATCTCCCTCTCAATAGTTCATTTTTGTCTAGAAATATGTTCAAAAATGTTATTTTGCTATTTTTTTAATAGATTACCCGTTTTTAAGCCCTTTATTTCCATTCAAAATTTGGTTGATTGTGTGAGTTTTGCTAAAGCTTCAGTAACATGTCTTAATTCAGAAGCACAGATTAAGTCTGTTCTTAAGTCTGGATTCACTTAACAATTACTTATAAATCTTAAACATAAAGCAGTTATCCTAATAAATTTACTGAAAGAGGAGTATCTTGTGATCAAATAGTTTTCAGTTTGGCTATTTTCAGCTGTTGCATTTACAGCAACTGATTTCTTAATCTCTAACTTATTGGTATCTTTTTGGTTTTTTGTATTGATTCTAAGGAGGATGTTCATTCTGTATCATTCATTTTCAACTAACACGTTCAGTGCCACCAGAGCAGGTTAGTCTTGAGCTCATTTAAAGATAAACCCATAAAACATAATTTGGTGAGATTATCGTTTCCTATACAATGATGCCATTCCTTTGGGTTGCTGTTTTTTTGTGTTTCTTTTATTCTTCATGAATGCCTTACTATCTATTTGAATTGCGTTATTATTGACGAGTCTGCTCAGAAATACTGAGTAATAGGAAAACTTGTAGCAATTACAATCTTATTGCTCATTCTTGCAGACGAAAGTGCACCTATGAGCTCCAGTCCAGGAAACAAAAATTTTTAATTACAAACCTAGAAATTATATTTCCACCCTTTAATTCTATACATAAGTCTGCAACCATACTTTAAACCTTCTTAGGTGCATCTGGGAAAAACAGTGTAATTGAATGGTAATTGTATCGCTGGGCAAAGAATTTTGAAATAAATATCAGTAAATAATTAATTCCCTTTGCGTGTTGGATCTCGTTGAACCATTTATTCCAAGAAATTTCCCACTGTTTGGGCAATTTTTTCATTCTAGTCTAATCTAAATACCAAATTTCCTGTATCAAATATTTAGCTCTAATAGTTTACGGTCCTAAAAAACTTCAGTAGGTCAACTTTTTGGATCAAAAAGTTGACCTACTGCTTGTAACAGGTGCCCTTTTGTGTTAGTTCTTTCTAAAAAGAAATTCTTAGAGATTTCTGAAATCGAAATAAAAACGTACAAGTTCTTTCATCCCAACCAATTCCCAACACTTTTTAAGCTGTCAACTTTTTATCTAAAGTCACTTCAGCTTGATCTACGTGGAAGTTTAAAAGATCCATGCTTGCATCTTTTTGAATATATGCACTCTCTTTACAAGTCATTCGAATCTAACCTTCTGATCTACATTTCTACCTAATCTTATAAATTTCGGAAACTTAAAACATTATTATTATTTTTAATGTGTTAAATTCAGCAAATCGCTCAAATGAGTATTAATCAACATGTTTTTATTTCTGAATCTCAAGTGCTTTATCATAATTTTCATCACTGAAAGCAAATCCATTAATATGTGCTTAGCATTACCACCTAGATGCGACATCAAGTAGTTAAATTTATCAACTTTGCTGAATTTAGGATTGTTATGAATAGACCTTTGAAATGAATCATAAAAAATCTAACCAAACTGAATAATTTCCATAATATTTACTAATATGAAATTTTGACAATTTTACATTTGCACTTTCATTTTCATTATTAATCGAATATTTTATGAAACTATATCAACTTAAATAGAATTAAAATTCATTTTCTTAATTCTAGATTGAAGTTTTGATTTAAAAAAAAAAAAAAAAAAAAAAAAAAAACTTTTTTTTTTCTTTAATTGGTGAAGTGTAAGATATTTATTTTTCAAATTTAATCAAGAAAATCAGTCGCTTAAAAGAAATGCATTGTCACTGCCCAAAATAAAATGTTTTTAATCTTCCACGGACCAGTATGTTGCCATTCAGCAAGGAATAGGACATTTCAGTTTCCTTTCAAATTTAATCTCGTACTGATTAACAGTCTAAGCAATTTAAAAGCCTGTATTTTAGATAACCTCTATTATTATTAATTATTAGTAGATTTCTCAGTACTATTATATGTTGAAAAAAGTACAAGTTTTATTAAATTTGAAATTAAGTAATTTGAATTCTAGAATGCATATGAATGGTAAAATTTTAAGTTGTTTTAATAATTTGAAATTTTAGAGTCCATTTAAAAGTAATTTAAAACAGATGACGTGTAGTTTTCTACAGTGAAATTTGCATAATTTTGTTAGGAATTTATCGTGTAAAGTTTTGAATTCTAAATTTGTATTTCAGTATTCAGAATTATATTAACTGCATGTGTTGCTGTACATAACACTGCAAATTGTAGCAGTTTTGTAGAATTTAATTTTCAGTAGAATTTAATTCTAAAATATGTTTAGATTTCCTATGCTATCAGATTTTTTTGCTTACTTATTTTAATTTATTCATAGGAATGTTTAGAAGATATTGAAAGGGCAATTGAATTTGATTATCCTAGAGATTTAAGGTTTAAATTATTGCAAAGGAAAGGGCAGTGTCTCATGAAACTGAATCAGCCAGCATTAGCAGTTGAAGGTAATTTTATTTTACCATTATTACCAATAGTTTTAGATACTTAAATATTGTCCCATTGACTGTGAAATGATAACAAAGCAGTGCAGCTGTGGGACAGTTATAGATAGGCATAGCATAGCATGATGTTTATTACTTCTGCATTTTTCTGTGATGCCTCTCCAATTGATTCTCAATAAGCCTCTTTGCATTTTTATTAATAAGGATATAAATTAACTACTCTTACTGTCATTCTCTCTTTATATTTAGAAAATTTCCATTTTGGAAAAAAAAAAAAAAAATTAAAATTTGGGATCTGCCTTCTACAGAACAGCAAGCAGTGAATATTTTTAAAGATATGAAACTTACTATAAACAAAGTGTATATTAATGGACAAGATATGATAATCTGAATATGGCCAACAAAACAGTAAAAAATTGGAACATTTACCTGTGGGAAGTTTGCATTCATATTGTTCTGACTAGAGCTTCTTGTAAAATGGGAGGGCCTTACAAAATAGCAAAAATCATGAAAGCCTTTTTATTAAGAGCAAAAACAAAGTGGCCTAAATATTGATCATTTCTTAAATAAAAAGGCATTAGTTCCTTCAGAATTCTGAAAGAACAATTGGTGCAATCTCCATCAAATTTCATGATTTGATGGTAGCCAACTGTCATGATTGACAGGATAATTCATAAGTCCCTATTTTTAATTATTTTATATGCTTAAAAAAAAAAAAAAAAAAAAAAAAAAAAAAAACACTTACGATGAAATTTGCTCAGTTAGATGTGCTAGTGAACTATTGTAAAAAGAAACTTATTGAATAGCAGTAATAATATAGTTAATATTGTTCTGAATCAGAAAGGTATTTATGTTTATTATTATTTCATTTTAAATTTTGTCTGTTATATGAAAAAAGTCTTTCATATTTTTAAAATACTTATTTTGAAATACTTTTAATAGTTTAACACATTGACTGCCACTGCACTTTTCGGATTCCAGTCCAAGAAGCCAAATCGATTTAATCATATTATATTATTAAAAATTGTAATTATGATTCGTAACAGTCATTAAAAAGTTGACAGGATTTTTTATTTTTATTTTTATTTTTTATTTTTTAAAGGTTTTTACAAATTATCTTGTAGTCAGCTTATGTTAGACAAAGCTCTTCACAGAAGTCCACAACGAGTTGATTCGTACAGACATGCTTTGACTTGTTGCCTCAGTATAGCTAAAACAAGTGCTAAGCGAGTAAGTAACTTGTAGTGGAGCAAAAGTGGAAACTACGAGGTAAATCATATTGGGCGTCCTGAAGAAGAGCGCTAATACGAGTTACCTCGTGTTGGGCAGTCAACGTGTTAATAAAAAAAAAATTATATAAAATTTACTTATTCTTTCACTAAGCATAATTTATTCAGCATTGTCATTTAATTTTAATATTTTCATCATATATTACAGAAGTTTTTCTGTTTTACACTGATAAGTAATTTAGATTTAAAAAATGTCTCGATAATTGTTTAACTGAAAATGCATACTTTATACTACTTATCATGAGCAGGAAATGTCTTACTTCATAAGATTCCTTTAGTTACTATGTTTATTTTGCTGTGCAAGAGTATAATATGAATGGAATAAACAGATGTGTGATGTTGTGTATTTAATTTGTATACCATATTTACAGGCGTGTTCCCCCTACTTTTTTAATAATTTTATTGCATGAAAATTGAGGAGGAATTATACGAATAATTTAATTTCTGAAGGATGTAGTTACAGTAAGAACATTAGAAATAGTATTCATAAATAAATAAACAGTAATTATCGCAATATTATTTATTTAAAGGAAGCTTGCATTCCAATTAGAATACACAGTATTCTTATTGGAACATTAATCACAGTATTATTAACATTGCAGTTATCTAATAAGATATCTTCTTTACTGCTTTCTTATATATTGAATCTCGGTTAATTTTATTGTTGCCCACTGCTACTCTCTAAGCCTAAAACCATTCAGTGCTGCTGGAACAGCTGTCTGTGTCATTTACTGCACCTTCCAAGTTGTCATCATCTTTTTTCATCATTGATTCTGTCTTCCCATATGCAATAATCTTCATAACTATCTAGACTGCATATGTTTTCTCAAAGCTCTTCGCTAATATACCCCGCCATTCTGATTACATGACTCAAAATCCACAAGCAAATCAGTTAGTTAAGCAAACATTGCTTTATCAGATCCATTTAAATTTTTTTTTTTTTTTCCAATTTTGCTTTTTAACACCTTGAGGAAGGGAAGCATTGTGTGACTAAAAGTGTTCAGAAATTTGTACTAAAATGCTAATGGGGAAGTACATGATAAAATACGGTATGTTACTAACAGTGTGTTACGCTGTGAATTCTAGAATCAAATAATTTATATTTTTTTTAATTGTAAAATTAATATTAATCAAGAAGCTTTTATATTACAGTGTTTCTATGTATTTAATGTGTTTATTTTGATAATATAAGGATATAATATGTATGGAATCTATATTATTAATATGTATATGCATTTTTTCATAGAATTAACAGTAATTAATTTACTGTTTTAATATTGTATCTTTAACTGAACAAAATCTTCAAGTTTTTTAAATTGGAGTAATCTTTTTTTTTTATTATTACAGTAGACCTTTATTCTACTTTTTCTGAGATGATAATCTCACCATTTTATATATACTATATTTATATTTACTGCATGTGTGTTATTTTCTGAATCAAATCAACTGAACTGTAAATGAATCTCACTTCTAATGTTTGTGCATAAATGATTTTCATCTGGAAATTTCTAGCTTTTGAAGAATCTTTAAAGCTTTTGGATGAAGCTCGATTAGATGTCCGAAGAATAGGTATGAAAATGTTTATGGACTTATGGGCTCATTTTAATGCTTCTTAATTCCTACATTTACGTTTATTAGAAAATGCAGTTTGATATGATATTAACATCTCTCTTAAATAAAATTCTAGTGCCTATTTTTTATATCAGCTATTGATTTTCAGCTCGTCAGAAGAAAGAAATTGAAGCACTCAAAACTGCAGCTGAAGAAATGAAGTTGTATGTTTTCATTTCCTGGCTATTCAAATTTGTGAAATAATAATAAAAGAAAAATTCATGGCACTTTTGCATATCAAACACATTTAATTTCTCAGCATTTATTTTGATTGGTTTGGTTTATTAGATTACGGCAAAGCACTCGAGGGCTATCTGCCTTAAGGGAGGGATGCCTTCGTGGAGGACTTTCTAAGGGAAACTGGCTCGTATACACGTTACACATGGGGAAAACCACGAAAACACCCATGCAGCCAGCCCGTTCGCGGGACTCGAACCTCGGACCGAACTACCAGTGTTCAGCGACGTTACCGCTCGGCCGCTGGTGGGCTCCATTTATTTTGAATGCATGTGCATGTAATAAATAATTTAGAATATTTCATATTTATTTGAATTCACTGCTGTTCCCCCTCCCAACTTTTTTTTTAAAGTCTTACAGATAAATTGAGAGTTACATATGCAGAGAATTTGAAACTTAAATTTCTTATTCATATTTGAATCAGTTTTTATTATCATTGCCATGATTTTTTTCTCATATTCTGAAATGATTATGCATATTTTTTTATTTATTATATTATCAGCCAGTAGGTATTACTTGTGTTATTATTTTTAGGTAATGTAATTGAAACAGGTTAGGTTAGGTTATTTAATTATGGCAAAGCCTCGAGGGCTATCTGCCTAAGGGGAGGAATGCCTTTGTGGAGGATTTTCTAAGGGAAATTGGCTTATATACACATTACACATGGGGAAAACCACGAAAAACCTATGCAGCCAGTCCGTTCGCGGGATTCGAACCGCAGACCGAACTACCAGTGTTCAGCGACTTTACCGCTCGGCCTCTGGTGGGCCTAGTAATTGAAACAGCGTTTTGTTTATAAATTTATAATCCTTCTATCTGTTAAGGCAGTAACTATAATATTGTTTATGTGCTTTCACATTGTTACTTTTTTTACTTTGAGTAAAGCATGGTTTTTGTTGAAATCTTGTGTTAAGATTTTCGTAACTTCTTTGTTATAGATTCTTATTATTTACCATAAGTAAAGTTTCTGTGATAAATATATATGTACTAATAATTGTTTCTACATATTAAGCTACAAAACATGCAGTAATATCAATATGGGAAATAAATGTAATGTAAAATTAAGAGAATAGACATTAAATTGGCATGTATATATTTTATTTATTTATTTAATAAGTTGTATCAAAAGGCAAGAGTTTCATACTTACATTAATATGAGAAAAGCCGATACAGCCAACACATTCAGTTTCTGGAAAAGACCCTAAAACTTTAATGCACTTGGCTATTGATATTACTGAACTTGAACTAAATTTTTGTTAAAAATTGTTCTGTTTCAAAATGTGTTGCATAAGACATCTGATGTACATAATTATTTTGAGATGTATATGGGAACTCTCCACTAATTCAGCCGGCATTGTTGAAAAGTGGGGGGGCTTTTAAATATGGATTTGCCTATTTTTTTAGCATTTGGATAATCATAAAGCTTTAAAGATGTATATAACTTGCTAGATAATAGAATTAAATAGCGTACTTCCTGTATTACAGTACAATAAAATTAGATAAAGCTTACCTTTAAATTTATAAAGCATGGTAAAATGAATAGTTTGCATCAGATATATAGATTTTAATTATAAATGAAGTATTAGAGTGATTCTTCAAAAAGGCTAAGTAAAGCCTGCATATTTTTTATTTAATGTATATTTGATGACTGGACTTTACAGCTTCTTAAAATTTATAAAAGAGTATATAAGCCAAGATTGTGAATTTTATCTTGGTCTTCCATACCTGCATTCTGTATTTAAAACAGAATGCAGGTATGGAATGGGTTGGAATGAGTATGGGTTGTCTGTATTAAAAACTATTTCTTCTATTCATAGGCCTTCTCCTGGAGAAAATAATGTTGAGGAATCCTTTATCCTTCCCTTAAGTTATGGAGCTCATCCAGCTATAGATTGTGCTTCAGGTGCAATTGATATTAATCATGATAAACAGAAAGGGCGATATGTAGTGGTAAAGTTCCTGCATTTGCATTTTTTATATAACTCCTAAAAGAATTATATTGTAAATGTTATGTATGTCTCAGATATTTAGTGTCCCAAATATTATAATGTAAAATTAAGATTTTTTAATTGTATTTTATATGTATAACAGTTATTAATTAAATAAAAAATATTACAAGATTTAGCTTCCTAGTATTATGAATATCCTGTAAGCTCTTGAATGAGATAGAAAATAAGTTATTAAATAAATTGTTTATGAAAACCTCGGCAATAAGATTTTTCAAAATTGAACTCGCTTGTTAATTCTGCCATAATGTTCTGTGCATGTGCAGTTGGATTAATAATACTGAAAACATGCTAAAACTGAAATTTTGGATTTATTTCAAAGAAAATTTATCTGTTCTTTTGTCATCTTTTCTTTATCGCATTTTCCATTTTTAGTACCAGTAAAACCTTAACAAATATTGTTTGCAAGAATATAGCCTTATTTGCTACTGAAATAAACATGCTTACTCTTTGCAAAGAACATAAACAAATTATGCTTACTCTTTGCATAGAACATAAACTAGCTACAAGTAGCTTACTCTTTGCAAAGAACATAAACAAACTATGCTTACTCTTTGCATAGAATATAAACTAGCTACAAGTAGCTAAAATTGGAATATAGTGTTTGAAAAGCTGTGGACAAATAATTTCTTGAAACATGTTAACCATGTAAATTAAAAATTAATATTGAGGGACAGTGGGCCTCCAAATGTGGATTTATTAAAACCAAAATGCTTGTAGAGATTTATGATTCGTGTTTGCTATTCAAAAAAAAAAAAAAAAAAAAGCATTGGGGCTGGCACATAAAATGTTAAATAACTTAGTAATAAAATAGCTTCTTGAATCAAAATGAACTGGTGGGAAAAATTAAAAGAACTGAAAAAGGTACTTAATATTAATTCTGTTAAGTTGAGCCAAATGAAAAGTGGTTGGAAGCTTAAAATCAGCATTATCTTATAGTCTAGTGGGATTCAGCTTGTAGAGTCACTAGGATATTTTGAAGCAGGAGACATGAAAAAATGAGCAGCGCCCTCGCCAGGGCTCGAACCTGGACCTCTTAAATATATGCCGAGTGTGCTAACCATTACACCATGAAGGCATGCAGAAAGGAGAAAGAAAATACCTTATATGAATGAAGAATCATCATTTACCACCAGAATTCTTTTGGAATGTGTGGAAAGAAGTGCAAGGGAGGTGCTTCAAATTCTGATTTCAAGGATTGTACAAGGTAGCTTGATAAAATTTTCATGCCTGGAAAATAGAACATGTTTAGAAGACATCTGACAGATTGTGAGAAATGACGTGATTGGGAGAAAGGAAGCAGGATAGACATTGATACAAGTCTGGAAAGTAGTTAAAAGTATCATGTCAAGAATCTAGAAGGGTTTAAAGACATTGGTAATATATGCAGGCAATCAGGTCAATGTTAAACACATGTCAAACAGACTTGAGTTATTTGGCAACTATTGCTAGTAGAAATAGACAACTGATGTCAACTCAGACTGCAAGAGAGTTAGCTGCAATTATAAGAACTCAGCGATCCAGATATGTGAGTGATTGGCTGCATAAAATAGGATTGCCTGCAAGGAAACCTGTGGTTTGTGTCCCACTAACTTGGGCTGTGAAATGTGTCCATTTGCAGTAATACAAAATGCTACTGACTGGAGGCGAACTCTCCAATTAAAGAGTTGTATTTTCGTTTAGAAAATGATTTCAAATGTGTTACAATCTGGAGAGAAGAAAATATACACAGTAAGCCTGAAAACAATAATGAAAGGCATTGATATTAAGATGGTGGTTCATGGTATGGGTAGGTATTCTTTTAGAATGATTGCACTGGCCTACATATTTTTACCACTACAATTATGAAAGCTGAAATATGCAAAAATGAGGAACCTTGATCAATTTGTCAAATTGATTAGGGAGGCAATCGATAATAACTTAATTCTAATGGAAGGCAGTGCTTGTGCCCTGTCACACTGCCCTATTTACAGCAAAGAAATCCAGCAAATGGAGTGCCATCATGAATACTTTTTTGTTGCTTAAACGTGTGTATAATCTAATACACAACATGGAAAGTTACTGTAATGCTTGCTTTTTGCTCATACACCTCATCAGTGTTTTCTGTGTATCCCTAAAAGGTTTTAACACCAGTTTTTCCTTATCCAAATTTATATTTTGTTTTCTAGGTTCTTATTTAAATTATTATTATTTCTATAAATAGACAATTTTGCATTTTTAAGAATTGTCAGGCATATCAAAATAAAGGTCTTGCGGGAGTTTCAAATTCTTCACTTTAAAATCAGTCAAGTTACTGGATTTTGAATTTTCCTTTAATTTTTCTCACCAGTTTATGTTATAAATATAAAAAAGTTTCATTAAAAAGTTTGTTTACATATATATACATATAAGAAAAATTACCCTTAAGTTTTCATGCTGAATTTTCTGGAAATTGACGCTTTCTTTCTTTACATCCAAAATTGAGGGCAGATTACTAGAATTCTGCTGTTCTTTAGATATCATCTTTTGGGTCTAAAAATGATGTGGAAGTTTTAAAATTTTGATGAAATTAATTAAATTATTATAATGTTTGGTTTATGGTGTTAAATTGTGAATATATTTATGTATTTTTTAATCATAGAAGTAATATTTTAATATAATTTCTTGATGTTTGCTTTTCTTTTTATCATATATATTCAGGCTAACAGGCCTTTAGTAGCTGGTGACACACTTTTTGTTGAAGAAGCATATGCTTCAGTGCTTCTTCCTGGGCATTACATCACACACTGCCATCATTGTTATGCCAAAGCTCAAGCAGTTGTTCCGTAAGATATTTTTCTATATTTTCATTATGTAGTATCATATTTGTGTACCTTAACATTGTCATATCTGTTGTTTCAACTTGTAATACTTTTCTTAATAATCTTGTGTGTTCAGTATTTTTACATTACTGGCTAGCTACTGGCTAACATCATGAAGAATAAGACTCGTCAGACTGTAGTTGCTGGACAAATAATTATAAGATACAGGAGTGAAGAGATTAAAATTACATTTGATATGTGGAACATGGAGAAATCGGTATTTTATATCCACCATCTTTAGCAGTAACTGTTGCGACATGTCTTGGCATTGAAAGAAAGAGGCTTTGTATGTGTGTTTGGGTATGTCAATTCATGATGTTTTCCCACATTTTCAAAGTACATCTGATGTAGCCACAGTTGTTTGCCGTTCATCAACCAGGCATGTTCAGTGAGCAACAAACGGGAGAATGAGTGGGTAAAGACAGCAGTGTTGTCTGAGGAGAGTAAAGAATTGTTGAATATTTTATGCCTCCTGCAATCTTACATTTTCCTATTAAACCTAGGGCCCAGGGCTTATTCTTGCAGTGAGAATAACAGGCTTCAACACTTAAGAGATGTGGTGGCTGTTGAGCGTACCAACAACATGTATTAGATGGATGGAGGAGTAAAATCCAATAGCACCTCAAATTGTTAACTTCAAATGACAAATATATATCACCATGTCATGGGGATATATAATGCAAAGGCTATGATGTCTTTCACTTGCACTCAAATATGATGATCGATGATAATCTAGACAGAATTAAGGTTCTTCTGAAAAGATGTATCATGCTATTTGTTTCAGCATGTCTAGCATTCAACATGCCATAACATATTGGGATAAAGAGTGGGATAATTACATTAATGATAAGGTTTCGTCTCTTTGCTGATACCAAATGATATGTACTGATAAAGGTGGTTGTACAATAGGCAATACAACAGATTGTAATTATTGTATTAGAGATTCTTCTTGTAGAAAACTAAAATTCTCATGATCCATCATTACCATGTGCCCAACATGCATGTCTTTTTGTTCACTGCCATGATCACCCTGGTACAATCCCTTCTCATCAACTGATTTATCCTTCTGAACTGACTAATTCCAAATTCAGATCACTGTAACTTAAGCATAATTACCAATTTCTCAGAAGGATAATCTATCATCTCTATAAGCTACAATTGTTTCTCTGTTAAGGTCAGAAAGCTGCTTTCGTTACCATTGTTTGATAAGACACACTGAAGCTTCCCATGCAAAAGAATAATGGGAAAACTTGCAGTTCTAGTACTTGAACAGCAATCTGTTCTCTCTTTTTATGGTGTTTCTAGGTGGTTTTTAAGATATTACATGATTTGTACATGTAGGTAATGCTCATTCGCATGTCCTATCAAAATTTATGCATGGCGCCAGTATCAAGCATGTCTGGATGTTTCCTTCTAGTTGCTGCATTTTGTATGGCTAGTATGAAATGCTTATTTCATTCTTACAAAATGTTTATTTCGGACAAAAATATTATTAGTTGTTTAGCTGCCTCTTGTATAAAGGAGAAAAGTTATCTATTCAAAGCTGTATCTATCAGTTCAAAACCACTTGCTGAAAAAGGAGGGGAGGAGGAATTCATTAACTCTGATAACCCATGATATATCATGTGAATTTTTTTTTCTTTTAATACTATAGAAAGTTCTTGGAAAATGTTAAAAAAAAAAAAAATTGTTGGGAAAAAAGTGAATATGTTTGAGATCTGATTTTATGTTTATTTCAGAGTTTTGTAGATATCAGATCATGAATGAAAAATCTTTACCAAAAAAAGGAAGAATAAAATTAGAAAAAGATAGTAAAAGCCAATAATTCCTTTTTGACTTCTCTTATAAAGGAATACATATTAAAAATATTCTTTTATGCAAAAAGATATAAAGCATATAAAAATATTTTTGACGATTTTCAAACATCTGTTTTTAAGTAGTTTGTCTTAAGATGGTCTGATTTGAATCTCCTTTTTCCTTAAATTATACAGAATCATTACTTCTGGATCAGTCACGTAATTTTGTTGTTCTCTGTCCCTCCCTTTCCATCAATATTACTAGCAAGAAACTCATGAATTTATTTAGAATTTGCTACTTTAAAGTGCAAATACCTTATTATTTTTAGTTCTTGTCTTGATGAAAGTTAAAAATTGTGGTGCTTTTCTGTGTAAGGAGAATCAGTTATCGAATGTTAATACTGGCATAATATGTAGCTTAAAGCAGTAGCAGCAAACTAATGATACATTAGTGCACATTACTTCTTGAAAGTATGACTGGTCGAACTTCCTGTACTGCTATTAGAGGCTTAACAGGGCTTGGTGGAGTTATTTAATTAAAGAAACATTGAGATCTAAAACAAGGTCTAAATTAAGGCAATTAAGCAGTAGAACTACCGCCATACTACCTGAAATAACTTTAAATAGAATAAACAACTAAAATATGAACTTAAAGTCTAGGAGCTGGTGAGATTTACCAGGTACAGCAACAAAAGCACATTATTAAATACTTTGTAAAAGATAACATGTTACTTACATGCATAAAAATATGGTACTTACATGTACAAAGAAATAAAGTAACAGAATATCATAAACATTTTAATTTTTCTTAACCTATTAACCACTGGTGTTGCATTGATGCAACGGTCAAAATAAATGCATATATAAATATAACTACTTAGGATATTTTATACAAGCAGATGATTTTGTGTAGGGAATATTATGAATATTATTTCTGTAAAAAATATTTGCCATCAACAATCATTTTATTTATAATAATTAATGTCATACTTTAAGGAAAAATTTTCGACCGGGTATTTTTGCCGAAAATATTTAACGAAAGAATCGCCATCTTTATGAATGATCTATTTTTAGTCAAGGTCACCGTTTATCAGAACATTACATCAATCAGATGTTTATATTTGTGTTGGGAAGGAAGGGAAAACAGGCGTTGTGCTGACAAAACGTCAGCAGGAAAAGGGTAATCTCCTTTTTTACTCATTTCTTTCAATGTTCTGGTTCGTGATCTGGCTGCTTTAAAGATGCCTAGAGCGAGGTATCTTACATTAGAAGAAACTCTTCTTCCAAGGTTTTTTGTTGAAGAAACAGATGATGATAATGTTAATAATGGCCAGAATGAAACTGATGTTGTTGTTCCCCCAGAAATTGCAGAAGCTAGTGATGAAGAAGAAGTGAATAACAACGTTTTAAATAATGATAATGATATTGCTGGGGAAGTTCAAATTCACGTAAGTAAATTTCAGCCTTCTAAAAGCAGTGGTAGTCATACAAAAAAGTTTAAAAAGCAGAAAACTTAAAACTTAAATAGATAAAAAGGAACCGTCAGTTATGTCCTCAGAAGAAAATAAAAAGATAGAAGAGAAACTACAAAGACTAAATACAAGGTTAAACTAGTGGTGGAGAGATTTTTGATTTTCTTTTTGGTTTAGACATTTACTCTTTTCTCATTGAGCAATTACAGACAAATGTATACGCTCAAAAAAAAAAAAAAAAACTCCCAGAATTTATTGCCTATATGGGAAGATTGATTTATAGGAAAATTAATGCTTACGGGCTATCCTTCTTTACCTCAAGAAGAAATGTATTGGTCTCTTGATAAGGACATTTCTGTTCCTATTGTACAAGAATCGATATAACATTTGCAGTATAGGAATATGAAGCAGAATTTGCATTTAGCTGACAGTAGTCAAATTGACAATGCTGATAAATTATGTAAGGTAAACTTACTAAATATCATGACTTTCTACTACTTGAAATAAAAAGTCTCTTTTAGATTTCAGGCACGAGATTGCATTATTCCTTTTGCAAATTCCTGTTGAGAGTGTAGAATTAGCCAGAAGTAGATCAGCAACAGGAGGATCTAGTAAATTCAGCATTCAAAAACCACTGCATGGAGATGGTAGATATTTTATCATAAAGTCCGATGATAACAAAAGACTTTGTAGTAAAGAGACCATAGCCAGACCGTTTATAGGTGCAAAGTATGTAATGTAGCTTTGATAGTAGTGAAGCTGTTCATGCTTGAATCTTTCAATTGAAATAATCTGTATTTGTAAAAGAAATATAATGTATATTTCAATATTAAATTAATTGCAAGTTAAAGGGATTTGTAGATTTATAAAACGTTAATACAGTTAAAAAGTAATCCAGTGCTCCACCCAAAGGAAAAATCGCATGAGTACAATCCTATTCACTAAACATCCGTAGTCTTATTCCGCTGACGTTGCGCAAACGCAACACTTGCTTTTTCCACAGGGAAGAGCATTATTTTTTTTTTTTTAATTTTCAATGTAAATTTATGGTATAAATGCTTAATTTAATATTTGTTATTATTTTCATGAGAAAAGAATCATTCCTTGTAGTTTTGGCAGTTAATGGGTTAAAACAGACATGGAAATTTTAAACACAATCAATATAAAAATTCATTTCATTTACAGATACATATTTTATGAAATTTGACAATTTGAATTTAGTCACTGTATTTTTACTTAGATCCTTTAGAGTATTAAATTTATATATTTGGAATAAATCTTAAAACAATATTTTCATAGAAAGCATCTAAAACAACAGGTGCTCAATACAACATTACTCATGCCACATGGACAGGCACAATTTTTAATCGAAAACCTAGTATAATAAAAGTTAAAGTGTCCATGATTAGTTAAAGCTTGATTTAGATACTTTTCACTTGGCATCTTCTCTCACTTACAGTTGAGATTACATTATATGTGAATCTTCCTTTAGAATCTGGGTCATTCCACTTTGCTTGCCATAGAGTCAAACTTTTTCTTTTCAAAAAGGATTTCAAACTGTCAAAGGAGTCTTTACTTCAAAATCAATAATTTGATTTTCAGTGGCAGCCTTTGCCAATCCATCTGCTAACTCGTTACCAATGGTACCAATATGACTCTTCGTACAAAAGAGTTAATTATCTTGATTTCTTGAAAG